AGCGAAATCTTCGCTGCATTACATCGCCACCAGCAGCAATAATCTCAGAGGCGCTGAAGAGGCGCATCGGAGGTCTAACTTGACTTTCAAGCTTTCGTCCAATCGCAGTCGAGACATTTGCCCGATTCGAGATATCCACACGTGGAATAAGCATAATCACTGCAGATGATCCACCGTCTCCCAGGGCGACGATGCGACACAGATCCCCACGGTACTTGTCTCGAGACACGCGTGCCCAGTCGCCGACCTTGTTGTACCTCCGCTTTGAGCTGCCACCAGATGTATCAAGATCAGTGGAAACGACAGCAACCATGTCACCCATGGGGACCATCTTCATTGACCACCCGCGCAATAGCCTTAACCCCTTGACGGCTGCACGTGCTGCGGGTTCAGACCGCGACTCCACATATATAAAACCACGCAATCCTGTTGCCATGGCACCGCAGATACCTATACCACACAATCTATGATGCTATTTATCATTCGAGGATTGATCCTCATACGCTGCTAAGGGACCCATAGGCTGACCCTCACGAGTCATTGCGACACATTTATTCATCAGCGATAAAACTGCTTCGCGCTCACAGCCTGTCTTGCAGGGGACAACCCATAGCCGTGGGTCGGTGAGCGATGGTGCATTTGCTTGTCGCGCTGCTGCATGCCTCGATGCAGCAAGGTTGGCGCTGCTGCCTTCAGTAGGTGGAATTCCTTCATCGAGGTCATCTAGGTCATGAGCTAACTGCGTCGTGCGTTGGTAACGATCGTGCAGAGATTTCACGACACCCGCAACATCTGCATCCTCACCTTCAAACAAATTTTCCTGATTTCGACGACGATCCTGACGTTCCATCTCCGATCTCATTTCGCGATCTTCCTCCTCCAACTTGAGCCGTGCTGCTGCCATCTTCTCATCATCCTCCTCCTCGTCGTCTTCTTCAGCCATATCATCAATGTAACGAGAAATTCCCATCTTCGCACGCTTCTTCGGCTTGACCTAAGGTCATAAGGCGACTGACATGATAACTATAGACGGAACTGCAGCACGAACCATCGTCGAGGATGCCCCGCGTTTAGTCCCCAACGCATCATGTTCGCTGTCTTCGTCATCCTCGTCGTCTTCGTCATCGAAAACGATGTCTTCAGACGTCAACCCAGTACGATCATCCCCAGCATCATTTCTTTCGCCAGCATCTGCTGCATCTCCCATTATTCCCTACCAACTCCTTAAAACTTTATCCTCCCTGAGAACCAACACGCGAGGGCTCCCTGTCGTCGTGATCGCCGCCGAATGTCGAGCGTACTCGCCGACCCTGATCAGTGGTGACTTGCGCCAATGAAGCGCAGATCACCTTTTCATGCACCCGGGCCGCAAAGGCGTCGCCGAGCGAGTCGGTAGCGGCCGTTTGCGACGGGTTTTTTTGTATGGTGTTGAAGAGGGGACCTTCGTCGTGGACTAGAGACCGGCCACTAAAAATCTTCGCGCGCGCGCAGCGCCTTTTTTGGCGATCGACAATCGGTTTTTGCCACAGTCGCATGAAAAGGCCCGGGGGCGCAGTAGAGAGATGGAGAGTTTTGTATCTCCCTAGTGGCTCGCCCGTACAGAGCCACCCAATATCCTTTCCATTCCCTAATACTTTCTAACACTGTTATAGTTGCGTCCCGCACTGTAATAGACGGAGAGTCTTCCTGGACCTAGTGAGGCGGCTAATCCTCAGTGAAGTGATCAAAACTCAGATTCTATTGGCCTGGACTGTCCGTGTGCGACTCCTTGGCCGCTTAAAGCGCGTAAAACGAGCGGGAGTGTCGCGCTCAAAGTTAAATGTCCGGTATTGTTCCTAATGATCTAGTTTTGGTTGCCACTCCGCCGCCTAGTTAGCTAAGTTATAATCATTTCTTACTGCGCATCACCATGTCGTTGCAGCGTGTCGTTGCGAGTAGCGCCAAGCGCGGGTCTCTTAAGGGCGACTAAGAGGAGGGTCAAGTCGCGAACTCAGCTTCGTTGGGTTTCAGGCCGGGGGGGGCGCTGGGCAGGCGCTGGGGGGGGGGTCGAGATGCCGCCACCGCCTTCTGCCAGCTCCCAACCGCGCGTGGATTGTGGATTTAATTTCGCAATCCAGCTGGAACGTGCCTGCTGGGCCTAGATTGCGCGCACGACCCTGGAAGCACAGGAAGTTCTCTGATGGGGTAGTGCAAGCCAAAAAAGTCAGCTAGTGCAAGGACAGCGCGACCCCGGCGTACATCCTGGGGCGGCGCCCCGAGTGGATTGTGGTTGTCGTAGCCATTCTTGTAATCATCTCGCTTTCGCGGGAAATGATCAGTGGAGTTCATGCTGGCAAGTTCACTGTCACTAGTTCTTGGTAAGGCTGGTAGCGTCAAGGTCTGCATGCGCCCTCCTCCCATGGACTGTTCAGCGCGCATCCGGTCTCGCTCCTCGCGCCTTGCAAATTCCATGATGTCATATTTCTTTTGAAGAATACCATGGAGTTCTCGCTCAGTGCG